CACAACAGTTAGTCGATCATCAGGTCGTGCGCGCTGGGATAAAGTGTGTGGAATCCCACCAGTGTGGAAGAGTAGGCCAAAAACCCTCCAGAGGTGCTTTCCGGAGCTCTCTCTCTCTCGCAGAGACCTTTCTGCTTACAGTGGGGTGAGCAAGCAATTTCAGCGCTGCACCTTTACCTTTATCCTTTCACATTGCCCATAGACATGCATATACATTCCTGACAAGTTCTTATATGAGCACATAGCGGCTGGTATACAGTATTAACAATGCATGCATTGCTTTACATTTGTAGTGGCTGTGAATGTCACCGTGTGGTGCCGGGCTTATGAGGCCACGGCAGATAACATGTTGCCATTACGTGCAGCCCGGTTACTAGACGTAGTACCAGCCCTAGCAGGGCTTGGGTGAGCGCTGGTTCGCGTAGAGGCACCACGTACAGTGTGCGGTGCGGGCTCCTGGTGAGGGAGCGAGAGAGAGTGTCAGCCAGCCAGGGTTACATTGGGGCATGATACGCCGGTTGACCTGCCGACACGTGACCGGATGATATTGGAGGGGGTCACCAGTGTACGGGGGCCGCTGGGTGGTTACGTGGTATAGAAGAGCTCTCGGGAGCCTTCGGGAAAGGGCCAGAGAGATCGAGAAGGTGGGTGGGGCGAGAGGCGGAGCCAGCCCCAGCCCGGGACAATATAACGGGGGCTCCGTGTGGGGCTCGGGGTTCTTGACTGTTGGTGAGTGAAGATCCACGTCGGGTTGAAGAAGCCTCTAGCCACGTGGTCTGGGACCCAGCTCTTGATCTGGACCGGGATAGCGGGACCGTGTCTAATTCTGCCGTAGCGTGGTTAGATGGGCGTTCAACACCCAAGTGTAGGTTATGTCATGTTGTGTTGAGTTGATGTAATAAATAGTGTTGCTCCCAGGCAACGTCTGCGACTCAGTAGGACTCACTACACAATGTCTTAATGCCCCATTGCCTTTTGGCTTCATTCGGCTGCTATTGCATACTGTATATGCTTACGGGAATGTGCAACCCATTTGGAATGTAAAATTATTCTGATAATTCCTAGAGGAGCATGTGAACGACATGAAATACTGAACATAGGTCATAGCCAGCGTGTCTGCAATGTCAAACAAGTGTTGGATGGCACTCATCTAAATTAATGGTCTTGAACCAGAATTGGAAATGCCACACTATTAAAGCAGGTACCAAACTTTCCACAACCTGGTACTAATTTTACCTACCTTATAAGTATGATTGGTTAAGTCATCCCAAACGAGATTGAACTCGTAAGCTTACATTAATAAAATATATATTACTCTTATTGGACGAAATACTGAACATAAAACACAACCTACTGTAATGAAAATGGTATATGTGATATACATTATTACAATAAAATAATGGATGTAATATTAAAAAAGCTAAATACTCTATCTGTATGACTTTAGATAGTGTCATAGTTGTTAAATAATTGAAAACTATAAACAACAATGAAAATGTCATTCATTTCTCAATTGGCTGTCTTGCATCGCACGCAATCTCAAAATATTAAATGGGTTGGCATCTATAGTAATACGAATTCTAGGATTTATACTTCCGAATATGTAATTGAGTGATGTATTATTTAAAACGTTATTTATGATGTTTTTCATCCTATCATTGATTGTTTTTTGCCCTGTAAAACTAATCATGCAAATAATTTAAAACTATGCCAAAATAAACGTAGAAATTAAGTAACCCGAATAAAAGCCACTTAAATTTCGATTTAAAGCTTTCGTGACTGCAATGATTCATCTTCTTTGGTTCTTTCAGTAAAGTCACGTAGAATGAGAATAAAATAATAAATTGATAAAATAAAATAACACAATAATATTCTCACGACGTTTCGGCCACAACACAAGCGGCCTTCATCAGGTGAAGGGACGAGACTGGCTGGTAGGACAGAACTCCAGCGCTGTCCTACCAGACAGTCTCGTCCCTTCACCTGATGAAGGCCGCTTGTGTTGTGGCCGAAACGTCGTGAGAATATTATTGTGTTATTTTATTTTATCAATTTATTATTTTATTCTCATTCTACGTGACTTTACCGAAAGAACCAAAGAAGATAAAAGCCACTTGTTAACAAATGTTTCATTGTTTACTAGGCATAGCAAGTAATATATTTTTTTATCGAACTTAAACATCGCCTATTGGACTCACTGGGAACTGAGGTATAGGCAGATATGTGAAAAGGTTGGATATGTCAACATTTCCACCATGCCCCAATACCACACGAGGTGTGGGACATTCATTGTTCAGGGTGGATATGTGATGGTCGGATATGGGGCTTTGCACTGGATAGGTGTTCATGATTTTAACCGAATGTCGTATAAGCCCAAGAGATAAGCCCAAAGAGATATGAGTTGTTTGTAGCTCATCAAGGCTCACAGTTGAGAGATATCATCCAGGGTGTAATGATCACCCTCACCAACATCACAATTTCTCTTGGGTGAGTACAATGACAACTTCCTGGCGAGGCTGCGCCGCTTAGTAGGATGTCCAGTATAGAGCAGTTGCTCTATACTGGAGGAATGGTTCCTGCCATGGGAATGTGGAATTTACACCACTTGTTCAAGCTCACCAATCTGGATGATCACGCATGGACATGTACAGTGTGAGAGAAAGGGACAATTTATATTGAGTGATGTATCTGATTTTAAAGGTACATGTTGAAAGGAATCGGTAGTTTTTGATGTAAGCAATATGTATATGTTTTTCTCTGCTCAAATGCTCGATGGGAAAGCACTCTTTGCTGTCAATGGCTTGGAGCCAGTGCTGGAGAATTTGACAACTTGACAATAAACATCTCTGTTCCCAAATTAAAAACACTTTTCATTACATTTCATGTTGTGTTTTGTGTTTAGCGAGTCGTGGAATACCACGCAGCAACGAGTCCTGCAGAGGAACTGATAATGGGCTCATCATTATCTATCTTGGTGCCAAAGTGTCCAGCAAACACAATCAATTGCCTGGCGCTCCTCAAAGAAGCACAAACTTGGTTAAACTTTCTCTCGCATTGTCCTGCAGTGCCAATAATTACGTCTTGAGTTTTTTTTGTCCAACAGGAAAACAACTTCTGGATGAATAATGCATATGTGTAGAGAGTGAAAGACAGCATTTATTAGCATACTTAACATTGTGATGTGACTCTATGGTATATATTCTTTAAGTCTATTTTCATTTCACTGTCCATTCTCATGTTATCTGAATAAGCATATGAAATGTATTCGTCCAAAATATAAAGTGGGCAATGTCTCATTTACGTATAAGGAATGCTTGTAATAATTGATTGTAGTTTGGAAGATTCGAATTGTAATATGTTGTGTTAATAGATGGATGGTGGAGGCAAGACTAATGTTATGTTTTACCGTTTGAGTCATATAGCTGGACTTGAACAAAGTAAATGAGAAAATAAGTGTTTGCTCTTTGAATGTACGTATGTTGAACTTCTTTCACACCGTACGTAGTCAATCATGCTAATTGGAGGTGCTGGGGAAGGATATATTAAACACAAAAGCGGTAAAATTTTGATTTAAAGCTTTCGTGACTGCAATGATTAATCTTCTTTGGTTCTTTCGGTAAAGTCACGTAGAATGAGAATAAAATAATAAATTGATAAAATAAAATAACACAATAATATTCTCACGACGTTTCATCCACAACACAAGCGGCCTTCATCAGGTGAAGGGACGAGACTGTCTGGTAGGACAGCGCTGAGAATATTATTGTGTTATTTTATTTTATCAATTTATTATTTTATTCTCATTCTACGTGACTTTACCGAAAGAACCAAAGAAGACAAAAGCGGTTCTGAAGACATTCGTTTTCAATCTAGATTATTTGAGAGTGCATAGCTTCAGTGGCTTCCTAATATCGCGAGGAAGAGCATTCCAGACGGCAGAAGAAGCGCATCTGAAAGCGTGCGATGCGGTGACCGTCTTTGTTCGATGGTTAGCCAAAAGCCACTGCGAGGATGACCGGAGTTTGCGTGATGGTTTATGCCCATTGACAAGATCAGCAGGGTATTGTGGTTCATTTATGGCAAGCACTTTGCGTTTAATGAGTGCGACCTCACAATGTATTTGTTCGGCAACCGGAAAATAGCCACTGGTAGGGAACATTCGGAATCTAGTCACAGGAACGGGGTGTAAGCAACTTGGAATCGGGAAGAGGCGGATACAATAGGTGGGATATATGCACATGTTGGAGGAGGGCAGGTTCCTGACAAGAGGAGGTGAAATGGTGCTCAAGAGATGCTGAGAGCAGACCTTGGGGGAGTGTATGTTGGCTGTGCCACCCATTGTGGGCTTTGATAGAAGGAAGAAATAGATGTTCAATGTAAATGGCATCGACAGTGTTATGCCGAACGCCCTTTGTATAAATCACGAAATAATTAATTGTATTTCCTGATATCGTCGTCGAATTTAACACCACCGAATAAGTCATTGCATTACAAAGTTTCCATACTTCGCCAAATCATTTTTACTATTTTATTATCATATACATTACAATATGCATGGACATACTCGTTAAATGCATTCATATTACTGAGGATAAATTATATACATTCGTAAAAATGTCTACTCTTTCATAAATATTAAGCTCCCAACATCCTTAACCCTAAAAATGATTGATGAGCTTTCTTCAAACAAACAAAAAGGCTTTGCATTTTTTTTCGTACAGTGCAGTTTTTCTTTTTCAATACTAAACGTGAATATTTCAAATGTTATGCTTTGGGCAACTGCTGCTAATAGCGGGGCTATCACAAGTGCCCAAAGGTGACTTTCATCCCCTAAGAAATATTAAATTATCCTAACCAATTATAATATTCACAGCCTGAGATTTCTGAGTGTGATTGCGCCTAAGAGTTCTCAGACTGTACAATGTTTGTCAAAAAATATATAGATTTATGGAAAAAAAATTGAGGCAACTTTTCAATCTTTATTTTATTTCTGTCCACAGCTGCACCTAAACAGCCAGTTATTACGGGATATGATGGAGTCCTAATGGAAGGAGACACCATCCAGCTCACCTGTCAATCAACTGGAAGCAAACCTGCTGCCAACATACGCTGGTTTAAGGGAAATCAGGAGCTCAAAGGTACGTGAGAAAATCATTCTTATCTTCCATATGTTGCGGCACATATTCAGCTAACCTGCAATAAAAAATAAAATGCACAGGTCGTCTCTCATAGGTCAACCCCAAAGCATCGACATGTCTCCTACAGTGCTCGTCTCCAACAGGGGTGTCCCCTTCCACATTCTCACGACGGGGACATGTACATCCATATGATCACTGTTGACTTCTCGTTATGTGAAACTAATTTATTTGTATTATTACATTTTTATTATTTTTTCTATCTACGTGACTTTACCGAAATAACCATAGAACATAGAATATAATTTGCTCGACCCTGGAGGCATGGATTTGATGAGTTGATCCACTACTGAGATTCCATCTCATGCATTCTACTTGCAAGTTGAGAGGCGTGACAGTGAAAACCAGGTGGATACAAGTGCTTTGACAAGTTGAATATAATATTGGTAACATGATGACAATGATGATAATGATAATTATGACAATGCTTGGATTGACAATGGATACTCATACAAAGACTGCATACCTCTGTGAACAAATGCAACTATCTCACTTGTGAACCCTATGGACAAGTCGCTGTTGAATTATTCCAGAAAAGGAGAATGTTTAACATTCGCTTGCTGTTAGTGTCATGCATTTTAATAACACTGCTGTGACCTTGAATGCCCTGCTCCTGAAATGCAGCTAATATCCAAACATAAAGAGTGTTATTTACTGTTATCTAAAATCATGTAATGTCCATTATATCCGGAAGGGCACAGGATATAATTTAATTGTCTATAGCACACCATTAACACAATGTTCGGCTTAAAGAATATATGCAGGCCACTGTACATTGAAGGTCTGTAAGGCACCACAACGATAAGTGTTGCCAGTTTCCACCTTGCATAGCTTAGCACATGGCCAAATTTGGCACAATCACAAATATAAGGCTGAAATTTTCAAGTGGCCTAACAGACTAGTTTTTGATATCTTCTTTGGTTCTTTCGGTAAAGTCACGTAGAATGAGAATAAAATAATAAAATCAAAATAAGACAATCAAATTCTCACGACGTTTCGGCCACAACACAAGCGGCCTTCTTCAGGTGAACGAACAGAACTGTCGAGACGACAGTGCTTCAAGCTTTAAATCGAAATTTAGTTTTTGATACTTGTCATGAAGTAAATATGTCCAGTGTCAAAATATGCATTTCCACAGCTGCCAAGCAATTTTTAGCACTCCTTATCAAATAAATGATTGGAAATCAACAATGGTTTTCCAATACAGAGACTGGCCCCCACCTTCGAATAATGAAAACATTCTACTGCTAGAGAGGAGCACTGTTTCCATGGATGGAAAGCTGCCCATGGAAATAGATAACGCAGAGCAATTCCTGAGATCCCATTGAGTGGCCTCTGCTTCACCAATCGTAGAGGGCAGCACTTCCCACTCACTCTGCAAATGAGAGTGAGATTTGTCGCATAGTCACAGCGACATTTAAAATCTCAGAGCTGTATATTTATTTTTCTTATCGTCCATCGGATTGACTGGCCTCGATCACAGAAATGTAAAATTTTCACTGCTGGTTCTGGCCACCAATGGATTTCAGCACTGTCTGTTACTCATATGAGCACGAGAGTGCTTTTGACTTAGGTTTATTTGTTAAATTGCATAAATTTTACTTGGCCTCGTGAAATATGTGAGAGTTGCATTAGTGACAATAGCTAGCAAAGCATTGTTTTAAAAGACGTCTGTTGACATTATTGTCTGATTAAAAATAATCATTGCCAGTTACACAGTCTACCTGTTCAATAATCGTGCACAGTACTATGGTGAATGGGAATATAAACGCTTTTTTCATATAAACAATCCGTAGAAAACTCAGCGTGATGTAGGAGACAACGAACATATTAACTATTCTAACATGGCAGGATCTTAAACCCCTCACGAACAAAGTATTTTATAAACTTGATTTGGCGCGTTCTTGACTGCAGGAATTACTCTTTGGTTCTTTCGGTGAAGTCACGTAGAAATAGAAAAAAAAATAGCATTATTTTATTTAAGAGAAAATTTTAAATAATAGCATTATTTTATTTATTATTTTTTCTTTCTACGTGACTATTTAATTTATTATTTTCTCTTTCTACGTGACTTTACCGAAAGAACCAAAGAGTAAAGTCTTTTATGTTGTTCAAGGCTTGTAAGGTGAGAATTCATTTAATTGACGTTCCTGGGCAAGGACGTTTTGATCATTCTCTCTCAGAAGAGGAATGCAGGAACATGTGCTTCTTGAGGACAGTCCTGTCTGTGTGATTGTTTGGAGTGAAGCAATATTACAAGCGTAACTTTTTCTGGCCCCGTATCAAAACAACTCTACTAAAAACGTGTTTTTTTTACCAGAACAAAAACTGTTGCATTCAGAAAATGCTTATTCACAAAACTTAGCTAACAAATGAAGACGCAACAATTTGTTTATTATGATGCCCACGTAAGTACTTGTTTCATTGCTATGGGAAAATATCTCAGTTTACATTTTGTTTCTTCAATAATTGGGGGTGCCACGGTGGCGAGATGTTACCTACTTTTCCTGGTATGCAGGTGGTCACGGGTTCGATCCCGCCCCTGCCACCTGTATCTTTGGAGTTTGCATGTCGCTCTACCTGTGGTCACGTTGATTTTTTTTCTGGGCCCTCCGGTTTTTCCCTCCACATTTAGAAATGTGGGTTGAAAGTATTTGGCTGCTATAAATGTCCACATGATAAGCCACTTCGATGAGCTATCATTTGTGGCCAAGTCCCTTCTGAAATAGAGCTATATAGCTCATTGGACCTTACCTGGTAAAATAAATAGTTTAGTTTAATAGTTCAGTTTTCATTATGCTAAATCACAGACACTCTCTACAGTGTATTATGTATATTTTAATTGGACGGATATCACACTGCTTAGAGATTGTGACTGCCAATCATTCCAACTTCCTGGATTTTCCTGAAGTGGTGATGAAGTTTTAAGAGAAACGCGATTTCTAATCACTAAACTTATTTATGAGGATTGTTCTTCAACTCACCGGTGAGCGGAAACAATGATAATTAAGTTAAATGCTTGTACATGTGACAACTTAATTCATTTGGCCTTGTCAATTGTGGCCAAATGCATGAGCATCCAGTGCGTATTACCTCTACTGGCTGTCATTAATGGATATTCCACGTTTGCGTGGTAGGAAGCAGTCTAGCCATAAGACAACCACTGTTTACTACACACAACGAGCTACTAATTGTATTGATCCCAGAGGAGTGATGGGTTGATTTGATTCCCTGCCAAAATGAGAACTTGCATATGTATCGAGCATTCAAAAAATAGTATTGCCTGTCCAGTTAAAATATTTTCCTTATCTAATTGTTACAACACCCAGCCAAACTCTGTTAATGTGGCCTTTCATAATAAGGCAAACAGCTATTCCACTCACTGCAAATAATTTTAAAAGTAGGTTAGTGCTATCAAAAACTCATTCTATAATAAATATATTCCATTACTCAGTTCAGTCATAGTCATCCATCCATGCATGACAAAGCATGCCCGAAAATATCCAGATAAATTCACGATGCCACAAAACACATTGCAAGCATAAATTAATGCGTTAAGGTGCGTTCAGAAGCCAGTATCCACGAGCATGATTGTGCTGTAGCGTGGTGTCCAGAAAAGTGTGGAATATAACATTAGATAGATCTGATGCTCCGTCCAATAATAAGTCAAAATAAAATACAATCGAATTTTGATCCAACCAGCTGGCACCATTGCCACTCACAATAATAAAGTTGTGAGTTCAAAGCTTGTATGTGTATTGAATCGGTCCATAATTCCTCTGGGATAAAAAAAAACAAAAGTTCCACTTTATATGACATCAGCAGCGGTTGTTCTTTGGATAATATGGTCCCAAACTATAATGTGGCATTGACACCAATGGTCTGAGGTCCAGAAATGATGAGAGTAACCACACGCTGGTCAATAACATAATTTACATTTATTTTGTGGGGATTTCTTTGGATTTGTCTTTCGTTCATTCCGCTTGGGTTTTTTCAGTGAGCATCCTGCATGCTGTGAATACACTGAACGTGGTCAGCCTTCAAAGTGTGACGTTATCCCAGAAGTGGCTTTTGAAACTGGGCCCTTTGTGGAATAAGCTCGAGTTAGGCATAGGGTGTCTTTATTTGTGCGGCACATACATTTCAGAGCAAATGTCCTATTGATAATGAGCCGTGAATGATTGCACATTTTATATCCAGCTCGTTACTATTACACAGAAAAACATTGTCTTCGTACTGTCAACACTACTGTCTCTAAAATATCAAACGTTTGCAATTGCAATCCAAATACAACGTTTCAGTCCAATATTTCTCTGAAATATCCACGTCTGTTCTGCTCATATTAATACAATTTGAATGTTATATTTAATTTCCCATTTTTAACATGTATTGTAAATGTCGTGTATTCAGTAAGAGTGTTATGAATGTGTTCATTGTTGTTGCATACCATAGTAGAGATAGCTATATCTGCCTGGCAGGAAGACGCTGCTTGTGGGGTGATTGATCGCAAAACAGGAGGGTTGTGAATTAATCCCCAGTCGGGGGGTTTGACTTAGCCTAACATCCATCCAAGGTCGATACTGGAAGGTAAATGAGAATGTAGAATTTCCAACAATGACTTAGGACCAACCCAGTGGAAAGGAGCGCTGCCCCAATGCTGGTTTAAACACGGAGAGATGTTCTACTCAGCATAAACATGTATACGAATGCATTGAACCTGGGGTGCAATTGAGGTACCGTGGTTAGCATTCTGCACCATGAACCGATTTCACCTGAGTTAGATTCCCGGCCATGACGAACATCAGTGTTGAATGATATCAGAACCAATGTTGCTCTCTCCCCATTCATCAACCCACACTGACCAGCATAGTGAAGTATGGTCAAAGAAAGCCCTACTATTGGTGTTGGGAGGCCTTATTCCATGTTTTAATGTATAATACTTGTTTATCCATCATATTGCATACATATATACTGTACTTATGAATAAGTTTGGTTGCTTTAGTTCAATGACAATTTTTTGTTAGACTTTGTGATGTTTTTCAGGACAAATTGCTTCCTTTGATGCTTTAAATTAATTCCACACATTTATTTGTTTCCTCCCATACACAACAGTAATGTCTTTCAACTTTACAATACCACTATATGTGGCGCATACAGATGGTGTTTTTTTGTACTGTGATGAAACTCTATGTGCACAACCCACGTCAATATTCGTCTACCCATTGTGCTCCACAGCAACGCATAATGAGTTTATATACAACATTGCTTTTGGTGTTGAACAGGGCCTCATTGTTTGGATGGGGTGCTCTTGCCAATAACATCTGACAACCCAGCAGCATTTGTTTAATAACCCTGATGAGCCTGTGAAGGTCAAAACCGGTGTAGAGTTTGTTTTCTAGAACAAATGCTGCAGGTGAAATGTATTACATATTTTTTTTGAAGAGTTACATTTTATTTGTACGTGCTTCCTCCACCCTAGGTCAGAGGCGTGAAAAAAAGGATAACAACAAGAAAACGTTCACCGTGATCAGCACCGTGAACATCACAGTGGAGTGGGTGGACAACATGACTCCAGTGAGATGCCAGATGGACCACCCTGCCTTGAGGACAACTCTGCTGCAGACTTCACAGGATCTCCACGTTCAATGTAAGAACTCATTCAAGGAATGAATGTCCCATAACAACGCAATGAAACTTAACAGTTTCGATCGAATCGTTTCTCAGGCTCATGCTATCATCGTTCTTGACGTGCAAGGTCACCGAGTGGCTCAGAGGTCAGAGCCCCGAGCCGGCACCACTGAGAGCCTGGGTTTGAATCCAGGCAGCAGCCTGTGATTAAACCGGGTCCTCAAGCTTGGCGAGGTCACAAACGACCGCACAGTAAAATCATCAAATTAAATTTGTTTCTGTAATTAATGGGGATAAATTCCATCTTCCCGTCAGTTTGACAGTCATGCAACGAAGGGGGAAGTTCTACCCTCTACTGTGTGTGGACCGTAGGTCACTTGAAGGGATCTCGAGAGGTAGCTCTGTGGTATCCACTTCTGTGAACTGTACTTCAAAAAGAAGGGTTGCATTGTCCCATAAGAGATCGCAAAGGACACTTCGTCTTGTGAAGTGACAGTGATAGCACAATTGGAATGAGAATAGGTGGAAAAACATAAAATATTTCTTGATGCGTTCCGATGCTGTTGGCAGGTTGGGTCTTGGGAATTTCCATCGAATCTGCAGTAGCTTTGTAGTTGGAGTGCTTGGGCCTGATTCATGTTGCTACTTTGGAGGTCATAATTTCCATCTAGTGCCGGGAATTCCACAAAAGCATAAAAACAAATGCTATATTCACCAGGTCCCTTGACTCACAAAGGTTGCTGTAGGGGAGGGGGTGATGGGGTCATCATACCACTTTGTGTGAAGTCAATAATAGCTCCTGGCATTGGGAAGTGAAATGTCCACCACTAGCCACAGCTAGACATGAGAACCACTATATTGCATATTTTAGCAGGGTCACACTTGGTCTCCAATATTGTCGCCATTTTCTAAAAGAAATTCAAAGATAACCTGCAATCAACGTGATGTCGTTCATGTGGACAAACAACTGATGAGAACGAGCTGAGTAAACGTGAAATTCCTACCACTCGGCCCGGGTCGTGAATGGAAATGAGCAGCACCCCATGCTCATTTTATCAGGTGGACAATTTCACTCATTTGACATGGGGCTGTGACATCACGGTCCATCAACTGTGGTCAAGCGACGTTTTTTTTCCCCCTTTGACTTTGGTGAACTACATGAGCGAGATTGTGTCCCTTACAAATTGCAAGGTTTGGCGGGGGCAACGTGAATCCCAAGTGTGGCTCTGGAAACGGTGCCAGACGCGTTGAGACTCCATTATATCAACGTCAAAGTCGCTCCCTGCTCAAGAGAGCAATGGGGGAGCCCGTGCTCATCTCCATCAGTGGCCCTGAGCAAAGGAAATTCTACAATTCCGGGACAAGTAATATAACTTCTACAATTACATTCTACAATCCCAGTGGCCAATGATTTTATACCATGGCCATCGTTCACATATCACGACGTGGTCTTCATCTTACTGACCTCCAGAAGGGATGTTGGCCTATTCGAACCCCAAACAGGATTTGAACCTGCGACCAGAGCACCACGCAACCAGATGTATCTTATCAAACGCTGCTATAAACAAGGCCCTAAACAACTTGTCTTGTTTTGCAGATAAACCAAGACTGGTCATAACACCCTCCAGCGATATATTTGAAGAAGGAGACACAATGGAATTAAGTTGTATTGCCACAGGAAACCCCAAGTAAGGATGCCAGATTGCTTTTTCAGATAACGCACTGCTTGAAACTTTATCTGGAGATAAACCGATTACACTCTTAGAGTGAATCAAACGAAGAATAAGATGAAAGTCTGATGAAGATTTCATTGAAACTTGCCATAACTGATTCGAAAATCATCTGTATATTGTCTACAGAAAAATGCACAGGTTTACACATCAATAGGACTTTATTGTTTGAAGTTTGAAGTGATATTCATTCCGATGGCATATCTGAAATATATAAATATGTAATCATTTGGAGTTTACATATATGCCACGCAATTTCAAACAGCGACTATATATTTGTTTTTTCCGAAGATGCTGCGAGTCCAAATTTAAATTGTATTTCTCATGAGAAATTATTTTCGAAAGACGCACAGCAGTCTAATGCTATCGCTGCTTTTATATGCAAATGATAAATATTCATACATGTGCCAAAACATAAAGCATATCAAACTACTTTATGTGTTTCTTGGCTTGCTATAAATATTATATTGTGTGTGTATATATACTAAGGATTCGTTTTGGATTAAGCAAAGATATATCAGAATTATTTTTTAGGACAATTTTGGATCTTGTTCTTGGTTCTTTCAACGTGACTTTACCGAAAGAACCAAGAATATGAATCACTGCAGTCACGAAAGCTTTAAATCAAAATATTGGATCTTGTTCAGATTTTCAGATTATTTACATGACAAGCTGATTTTAAAAAATGATGTTAACCGGATGTCACGTGATATCACTGTTAATGGGAAAATCTCGGAAGTGACATCATGAAAGTTATGCTACCCCCTGTCATGACTTGTTTTCGGATCAATCCGAAATAAGGAAATGGAACGTCCAAAATGTTGCACTTACACTCAACTCTCAGAATGTTTTCGAATTCATGTGAAAACATCGCTCAGATATATGTGTATAAATAGATGTGTGTGTGTGTAGGGCTGAGCGAGGGACAGTGTATAGTGTGGTAGGTAGCAGACTGCTGTAATCCCACATGGACTCAATTCTCAGCCGTGTACACCAGCAGCAAGCCGTATTTGTGCCTATAATGGACCTTCCCTAGGTCGACTCAACCTTGAATAAGTACATGGTGTGGTGTGTAATCATCAAACGCTCGAGAGACAAAGGTGGCCAGGCACATTGCTGACCACTCGAACCTTGTGTGTGCTGTTCCAGCCTGTTCAGGTGCTTGCTGAAAGGGTGAGCTCTAGTCAGTCAGGCTAATTGTGGAGCGTGTGTGTGTGCTTGTTTAGGCAACTCACAATTCTATATTCTGTTGGGGAAAGAAAAACCTAATACAGTAAAAAAAAGGCAGTGCTATTGTTGGAAGTGGTTGAGTTTTTCTCACGCGCATACACACCACTGCCAACGTGGTATCACAAAACATGTTTGGTTTAATATTATCTGGTATTAGTTATCAACTTGTGACATTGAGACAGGCGCTAATTAGGGCTGGGGAAACCCTACCTCACTAAATAATGGTGCAGTTTTATCAAAGTGCACTGCATGCTGTAAATTAAGTGCATATTCAGGCCATTTAGTGTTAATCGGAGAGTATTTTTTGGGATAAACAGCATACACTTTGCAAATAATAAATTAAGTTGGCCAGGTGGTATGGTGACAAACACCCAATGGTGGGATCACCTCTTAAGCAATTCTGGGTTGTCCTGTGAAGATACTAGTCTCTGCTATAGGAATGTGGAATTGACTTGATTCATGGGAGTAACAACTGTTTCTCAAGATGTGTGTGTTTTTTTTTAATCCAAAGTACATTCAATAGGAATGTACACGAAGTCCCCCATAAGCCCTGCAATTTTCTTAAATCTGAGCAAAACGTCAGACGTCCTGCCAAGGTTTAGCTAACATGCCCATCTCCTAATCCTCTTACGTTCAGCCCAAGCTCCATTCAGTGGGCGAGGAGAGATGGAGAGATGCCCGATCGAGCCAGGATTTTGGGGAACAAACTGGTAATCACCGCTCTCAACAAAACAGACAACGGGACATACAAGTGCGAAGGTTTCAACAACATTGGCCATTCTGCGGAGGAGTACACTCTATACGTGCGCGGTGAGTGCTGCACACCAACGCATGATCGAACTGCTACCGGTATACCTTGTCCTCATTTAAAGGCACTTCAGCAAACGTGATACTTCTCATACTTGCGATAACTATACTTTTGAAATGTGTGCAAACACATCAGGATGATCTTTGCTAGAACCAACTCACATAGCCGATTATCTCGATTGCATCGAGTAGTTTTGTGTGTGTGTGTGTGTGCGTGCGCGTTACTTTAATTTGAGCCTTCGACACATCACGTGGCCTCAAAATTCACCTGGCCTGGCACAGGCGCCGTGGTGACGTCACCGTCAATTAGTGACGAATGGCGGTTATTGGTGTTGGTTACTTGAATATGTGTACGTTAGTATTTGCACAGACGTAAAGCCAAGATAGCTCATGCTACATTAATGCACCTACAACCATCGTGATTCGTAATTGACTTTTGGGTTAGGCTACAATGATCTGACCAGGTTTGTGTTGTTAAGACCCTCTACCGCCCAAAATAGTAAAACAAATGAAATCGTCACGTGCACACGTGTTTGCCGTTCCAGTTGTTGTTTCAGCTCACTGGTGAGCTTGAGGAAAAAAATATCTCAACCGTATTTAGCAATACGGCGTTGCACTTGAAATCATCAAAATAAAATCAAGGTTGTCAAATTAAAATCCAGGCACAGCACTCTACAGTTCAGTCATAGTACTGTATGATGCTGTGAATTATTGAGATTAAACTACTCTGAAAATACCAAACAATTACAAGTAATCAGTAATGAGAAATATAGTACTTTGCAAGTAACCCTTTCAGCGTGCAATATTGTGCGATGAGCAATGTTAAAGATTATATAACATGTCAGCAACGATGTTACTTCTGATGTGAAATTAGAACGTCCATGTTTCACAAATTATTGCACGACCATAGATGCTGCTTACATGAATGATTGATGGTGGTGGCACACAGAGTTAAAATATCAACTCTCATATAATTCACGTCAAACTGTTAAAATAGCAAAATGGGATCAGACCCTTGGGGTGTGAAATGCAAATCAAGACAAGTGTTCACCAATGTACACCAACTTTGCAATGTCTCCTAATTACAATCTGTTTAAATTTCGATTTAAAGCTTCCGTGACTGCAGGGATTCATCTTCTTGGTTCTTTCGGGAAAGTCACGTAGAATAGAAATAATAAAAATAAAACATAATAAAATAAAATTCTCACGGCAACTTGTGTTGTGGCCGAAACGTCATGAGAATTTTATTTTATTATGTTTTATTTGTATTATTTTATTATTTCCCTTCTACGTGACTTTACAATATGTTTATTTACTCAACTTTCCCAGTGCGAGTTTCCTGCAGGAGTTGTTTTGATATATATAGTAAGCAGCGTCATGACTGGCATTCCCAATAAAGAACTCAACTGACAGAAGGTTATAATTACAAACTTAACCTCCAGATAAACTCTTCCCATCATCTATTTGGGCACAATACAATTAGTACCATTCTGTGACATTCACAGTAATTTTAGTAAGAATGGACTGCATTTTGCCATAGGGACGTGGAGTTTCCACGACTGACTTAGGGCAGCCAACACATATGAGATGGATACTCCTATTGAAGTTTCGTCACATTAAACTGTGGGGGTCACTCCACACTTCAGAGTCACGGTCATCTATGTCTGACAAATATTGCGCTCATTGGAAATTGCATTACAAATTATCATTCCCAAATGCACAGATAGTCAAATTGGGTTGTGATTATCAACATAATCATTCACCTGTAGTTCATCAACAAAGGGGGAAATGCATATATTATCAGAGTATGTTTTTTTGTTTGCATTTTGACCACAAGTAGTGTGGTTAATGCAGACATGATTCCTTGTAAAAGGTTTCAGTTTGTTGCCCGATAAAAGGTGAAAAAAACTATTATCAACGGGGGAAATGTTTACCCTCTCAAATGCGAATCAGGTAGTGACCATTTCCATTGGTATCCCTGAGCCAATGGTGAATATTACACATTCCTGTGGCAAAATAAAGGTATTTACCATAGGACAATGAATGATGACTTCCCACCAAGGGGTACTCGTGGTATTAGTGCAGGAGAGATCAATACGCATCTTTGATTAGCACGTTTGGCTACGTACGGTGTGAAAGAAGTTCAATATGCATACATACAATGGCTCATGACCAGGAATTTAATTTTAACAGTCCCGTTGTGAGCCAATAATTCTGACCACAACAACTCTTGGCCAGTTCTCCGTGCTGTGAATTCCGGATCAACGTCTTGCATCTCATAAACTCAGCAAGAATGTAACTACACGCATTAAACGCGCATAGACACATGCATGACTATAATTTGAGCTCCAAATAATAAAAATGCAAACTTACTGTTGTTGTTGCTGCTGATAATATATTACTCTCATTTCCATTTAATTGTTTGCAAACGTCATAAAATAAAGTTGGTTTCTTTATCACACTTCCATGGTCATCCATTTGAATAAACTTTGGATCAGCTGGATGTTAATATATCAGCTTTTCAAAATCTAATCTCTCTAGGCTACATAAATTAGAGTATATGCAAAATTAATATGGTGTATTATATCACACAAGTCATAAGTAATCTTCTTGTGGGAAGATAAAATTATGGTTGTGCATAAATAATGACCGTAAAAGAGGCTTATGTGACCAGCTTCCTCCATGTGCGGTGCAGTTTAATGTTTGCAAAGTTACAAATTGAATAATTTTAATGACATTGGTTACTTCCTTTATATTATATGACCTTTACTTACAAAAAAAAGTACAATTTAGATGTTATATTTTACAAACTCTTTACAGTTCCATTAGCTGACTACAAAAAAATGCTGGTCCTGTGCTGTTAAATATATAAATAAGTGTGCCCCTGCTCTACTAAGCATGGCATAGTGCGCTCCTCCATTAGTGGCCCTGAGCCATCGGTGGACATTCCATATTCCTATACCGGCAAGAGCCCACGAAAAAGACAGCCAATGGTGATGTCCCACTCGGGGGATTTTACTTCATCAAAGTGATGATGGATGACATTCTGGTTAGAGCACTCAGCTCACAGTCGGAAAGTGGTGAGTTGAAATTTCCACTGGGGGTAGACACAGCCCATCATTCATCCGGGCAGATAAAACTCTATTGTGGGAAGTCAACAATGGTGATCCTACGCAACGACTGCTCCCCCAACTTGACGATGTGGAATTCCCATTTCTCTCTCAGGGTTGCCAATGGCGATGAGCATTGCCTCACGCTTGTTTGAGCAGGGATACCATTTGATTCTCGTTCATAGTAAATTGAGTTGACCTTGGTTTGGGTGAGCTATGTTTTTTTTTGCAAGGGGCAATATATATGAACGATTATTTTGCTGTTGTCTTGTACAGCATTGTGAGATGCAGTTTTGCATTTTTGACGCATATATAAAAGGTAATTTTTTTTTGTTGCTGGTGGATTTAAACGCAAGAGCCACAAGCATTCTTGCATCTATCCATGTTATATAGCCAAATGAAACAAAGTAATCCTCCACATAGCCATTCAAGCAGATGTGGCAATTGCTGTTAGTAAGCACCTATTAAGGCTGGCTTGGCACAAGACAAAAACACTTCCAGCACCACACATAGCCAATTCTGTTCCCTTTGGGCGAATGCTCACACATTACCATGAATGTTTAATTAGGGCTAAGTCGACGTAAGGGAGGCTGATGTAATTTCCCGATTCACATTTCACCGAAGTTTTATATGTTTAGGAATGCAGTGTATGAATCACTGCAGCATTACTCCAATACACACGGAGACTAATATCCTCTGCTTAGCATTACAGTCCACAGATAGCAGTGCTGTTAGTGAGCTCCTAATGAGGCCAGAATGGCACAAGTGACCAGCAATCTAATTCCCAATTTTGTTTATCGAGTGGTAGTAATTACTGTTATCATTTAGTACGTTTAATATTCGTGCCATTCTTATACCACAAGGCTATCACTGAGGCACAATGTTTCACAGACGAGACTAGTCTGCCAGTACGGGGTGATGTTGCTACACACTTTTGCCCATTTCAGTAATTTGGCAAGATTTTTTTTTTTATTTTAGACTAGCGACATCTTGAACGTCCAGCGTGAAGCGTATTTTACGGTGTATACACCTGCAGTATTAACCAGGGTGGACGTTGGGTTTGACCCATGAACCTCTGCCACAAGTGGCAAATGCGCAACCTCTCCGGCACGTCACACAATAAGAGCCAAGTATTCATTTGGGGTTGCGTCCACATAGAGGGTTCCCCGAGAAAATCTCAGACACCACTTTCTGCAATTGTGCATAACCAGGAATCCAGCCTGAATTATTGGGTTCACAACGCATTTCTTTGAGTTGAAGAGGCAGAGGTTGAGTTCACATACAAACCTAATTGATGGTTTGCCTCGCTTGCAATTAAACCCAGGGTGTAAACATTCCAACACAGTATGCAATCCACTGCGACTATCATGTGGCTGTCATTCCCGGGAGTGTACATCATTTGCAAGTGGTGTCGGAATCTGTCCCGGACTTCCTCTTAGTCAACTCTGCCCTAAATAAGTACTCGGTGGGGTGTGCAGACATCGGCCCTCAAGTGTTGGCTACACCAGGAAATGCTGGCAGCTTTGAGTGGTGCCTGCTCATACAAGACAAAGATTCCCCATATAGCCTTAACATAAAGTTGGGCAAGTGCTTTAGCGGGCAAATATGAATCCCAGAACGGCACACGAGGGGGTGGATAGCCAGCACCACGCCTGACGATGTTTACACACTACACCAGGTACTAATGTGAGGCTGAGTCGACCTAGAGGAGGCCCAGAACCGGTTCAGATAATTCTCACTGATGTTCGCTGTGAGTGGGAATCAAACTCTTGTGGTCGGATTCATAGCGCAACACGCTAACCATTACGCTGCCGCTCACTTGCGAATACACACAGACGTGAACAAACACTATTTTAGTTATTCATGAAACTGTTCAGAAGAGAGATTGAATTCCGAACCTGGGAAGACACATCCCAGGTGTGTTACGTACACAATGACGGTCCACATAGGTATTCCAACAATGCTCATTAAGATTGGTCACACATTAAAAATGTGCAACCTAACAGCCTCCTACATCAATTTAACCCTCCTCCAAAGTATAATTTGCCATATTGTAAAATATAATGGCCTGGTGGGTGTAATAATAGGCATAAGACATACGTATGCTCCGAGGTCAATTGCTATACCAAATGGCCACCACATTCGCTAAAATATTGGGTTCAGTCTCTTGCCGAATCTGGACAATTATCTTAGTCCATGGGGGACCTCTATGCACAAACACAACCTGCATTTAAGCCCCTTTTGTCCTTGGCAGTCTTACATTTCATCACTTTTCCATCAATTTCTAGGGTATGGATTTTTATCAGTTTGAGACGGTGATAATATGCCAGTGATAACATTCGATAGCCACTGTTCTCATTCCTGCCACAACTGCAGCTTGAAACAAAACTGGAAAAAAGGCATAAAACGTGTGGAATAGAAATTTCACCTGCTGGATATATTGCTATCAAATGTTTTGCAGAAAGGTAGAGTATATTATAGTTTTATTTTCAATTTTGATGACTTGGTACACCTTTATACATTTTCTTAGCTGTGAGAAATTACAACTTTGTAAAAAAAATGTTGGCCAAATTCGAAACAACAGCCTAAATTGGCTGTGGCTTACCATCGTAAATGTAAGACCCCATATAGAGTTTGTTTCTTAAAAAGTCAAAGTTAAATTGTCTCGTTACATAAAGAGTGATTTGAACGGCGCTTTTCTCCTGTGGTGAAGCCAAGGAAGCTCACACATCAGCACCCACCTTCAGAGTTTAACCCGAGTTGCTCCTCCTATGAAATCTTCAAGCGAGCCCCCTTCCATTCCTAGCTGAAACAGTGGTGGGAATTCCATAATCCCCTGGTGGGGTAGTCCCTCCCATAGGATGGCCACTGTTAACTTACCGCAGCATCATTTACACGAAAATTTGCATATGTCTTTAACAATCCCTTGCTGGATTAAATTCTCTCCATACAGTGTCATTTCTGGGGATGTTTGGAAATACTTCACCAGTGCTGTTTTTTCATTAAATGGGTAGCCCAAGCCTGGCTCAGATATCACCTGCAACTGATGTTAGCTGTGGCTGGGAATCAAACTCAGGTCACTGGGTAAAGTAACATTTTACAAATACACGTGTTTTTTATCACTAAAATAATTATATTTGCACTATTAGCCTCATGTCACGGAACAAAGGAATCTATATTACGAATAGCATGGGAGGATAAGATAGATGACATCACAGAATTACTTCTGAATTTCATTGAGTTGTTCACATGGAATTCAAACTGAAATATTTAGTCCTCGGATATTGAATATGAACAAATATTGACGGTGTTGTCAGTGATCGTAATGAATAGCCCTAAATGATGACAGTGATGAATTTACCTAATTAATTATGACGATGATTATTTATTTATTGCAGATCAAGCAACATTCGCTGCCCAGATTGGGACAGACCAGGCAGTGATTGGAGGTGTAGTGGCAGTTGTTCTCTTCATCACTCTCTGCCTCCTCATCGTTCTAACGCACTACTTTGGAAGACAGAAAGGTGAGAGACCCACACGTCTGCCACAAAAAGACACTTTCATGCATTTAATTTCACAAATTTATACCAGCTATAGCCCATGACCAAATTCATGGCAACATTATTTGTGGCACGTGGAATATGAATCTGCTCGAAAGCATTCACTTAACTGCTGGTGGAAGGGCCTGCACGAGTGGGAGTACTGCAAAGCTCCTTCAGAGGGGATTTCACCTACTCTTCCACGCTCACTATATCAACTCAACCTTGAATGAATGCTTGGTGCATTATGTAAATAAAGGTGATGGAATAGTGTGGAGGCATTGCCATGCCCCTGTGTCTGTCATAGAGGCCTTAATAGGTCCTCACTAAGAGTGTGTACACTTTCGGCCCAGCAGGCTAAAGTGAGATTATTTTACATTTCATTTGTGTATGCGATCGTGCACATGTGTATGGGTGTGTGTGTCTGCATGTGTGTTTGAGAGAAACACACAAGCCACAGCGAAATTGCTTTTCCATTAGGGAAGAAGTCTATCATGAGCGAAACCAGTAAACGCAAGGATTATGCCCATCCGTGCTCCAATGGTGCATGCCAATACAATCCGCCAAGTTGCGTGAACTTCGGGCAAGGCCACAGGTACTGATGGCTATAATTCGAAAATGTTAAAAGATCCGGTGACATTCAGGCCTACACATCAAGTCCCTCAAGGGCACGATGTGAAGCACTAATTGGCCAACTGGCCTTTTCACTATTCAGTTACATGTGCTTTCATTGGTCAAAGGAGCACAGAAGGGCTTGCAGGGCTGCAGATTCAAAAAGGGCACACGCAAAACCCATGAGAATGATGCTAAGGGCGAGGAGCAAATCCATAGGAAGGCCCTGGGGCAGTGCATTCCCAAGCTCTCATTTTCTTGTGATTTCTGCTTTAGGTGAGCTCCTAAATTGGCCAGCAACAACAATGAGTGCATTAAACTGCCCCGGCGATGCCCTTGCAAACGATAACCTTATTTGCCCCCCCCCCCATTCGTTTCATAATATCAGGATCTCTCCATGCACAGCCGCTGATGGGGGCACTACCTGATGACCACTGACATTAACCACATGGAAATTATTTAATAGCCAGTTAATTGGCTTTATCTCATATAAATGTAAGAGCTCATCATTGGCTTTTTTCGAGTGCTCATTTGGCTGCTAACTAGTACGTTAGATGCACACACAGCGGACGTAGGAAGAGATTATTTATGAATGTGACATCTGTTAAAAACAATCAATGAACAAGTTTCCCCATCAAATGAGCACCTCCGATTAACACGGTTGGCTACATACTGTGCGAAAGAAGCTCAACGTACATACACACATTGGAGTGGAACTCATCTTCATTGCCAGCTGCGCATCCATTTATAAATTCAGTATTTCCCATGGCGGGAACTAGTCTCTCCAAAGGACCATAACATTGCCAGTAAATTAACTTTGAAATATGTTCTATATCCTTGGACACATATTAGAAATATTAAATGAATACACGTGTATAATAACAATGAATTATATGCATACATATATTTGTGTGGAATGCATAATGTGAATGTACATTTGTATGCATGTATCATACCCACCAGATGACTTACCTACCTACTTACCGATCTACCTACCTTACACAATTACCCACTCACCTACCTACCCACCAACTTAACTTATATACCTACCTACCCACCTATCTACCAACTTACCTACTTACATATTATAATGCTTACCTATCTTATGTACCCACCCACCTACTTACTTACCAACTTATCCACCAACTTACCTACCTATCTGCTTACCTACCCACCTGTGTTTCTCTCTACACTTAAGTGTGGCACAAGTGTACTGGAGCAAATGTGTCCAAAAAAAGTTACTGCATAGCACACCGATGCATAATGGGGGTGTGCGGTGATCCCGTGCACCCGATTGATTAATTGCCACCTTTCCCCTGCCCGGATGCTCGCAATGAGCGGCGCTGCCGACAGGGTGACTCGCTGATTTGGTCTGCTCTCCGTGCACTTTTTTTTATCAGCCAGGAGGCAACGTCTCCGAAGCGCGTCAGGCGTTCACGTCGTCACGCCTATCTCATTACGGCGGCACGGCGACTACGAATTGGATTAAAAAATATATATATAATTGGCAGTGACATCTCTGCCCTGCAAAGATAGTGGCCACAGCTCCAACGCAGTCAGTCTTGGCAGCTGAATCCGCCCCCCCCAGCCTCACCCCGGCCTTTGTTGTGAAATTTTCACCATATTGAACAGTGACCGCGATTTGCAAACAAACGAGGGGGCTAAAAGTAAATGAATAATCATGAAAACAACCTGAAGGAATTTATGCCAGTCAACGAGCATATAAAAGCAGCCGTCCTAACTCTAGATTTTGTCATCTCCATCACTATGTGGGTGAAGTTTGTTCAGCTTCAAACCGCAAGGTCGCGGACACCAATCTGGGTTAGGGGTAGACAGTGCACATTAAAAAAAAAATTGGAACCTGTATCACGTACGAGCACCGTGTTCTCCAGATCATGAGATGCACTGGACGAGTGAGACGCAACCCAAATGTGCCCGTTGTCAATAAAGTTGTACAAATTTGGTCACACACACACACACACAGATTATAGCAGGCAAACCTAAGATTTTTGTTTTATAATGTAGGGTAAACAATTGTGTCTTTATGATCCTTAGAATACGCTAAACAGAGTATTTGGTGATAGTGCATTGATAGTGATCCACAAGTACAAGTAACAAAAATAACCTCAAACCATTCTTAAATAACTGCCTAAAAATTCAATGTTGGTGACGTTTCGGGCAATGACCCTTCATTAATATTAGAATGTGGAAGGTAGCACTTTGTGGGAAGTCAACAGGATGTTTTTTGTTTTGTTTTTTGGAACTGGGTAATTCCCAGGATCCTTTAGGGTTCTGTCTCGAGAAGCTGCTGCAATGTGTTCAGCTGGCAACCAGGCATCATCTTCGAAGATGTCTTTAGAATGACATTAAGGGCAGATTAATGTTTCTTTTTCACAAAGGATCATTTTTGAGCAGTCACTCATGACCAATACTGTGACCATTCCCATGTTCACGTGTGGTAGGATGAGGTTTTTTTTTCGCCCGGGACTTTTGTCGCACCGGCTCAGTGTTGTAACATTGGCGTTAGCTCCATTGCCAGTCCCCTGGGCCACACAGTCACATCCAAAACCGAGTTATATCAAAACAAGCTTATGTGACTCGGTGACATGCATTGAAATACAAAAAACAATGGTGCTTGGGTTTTTTTTTTACAGCCACATGGCACTGTGTTGTGTCGAAAGTGATTTGCCTGGCATGTTACTTAATATTCAACGCATCACCATGGCATGAGTAATACGTGACTCGAGTTGTAAAATATGTGCATGCAGAATCTTTTTTTTTTCAAATTATATTTATGGTATAAAGCTTTTCTTTCTTTTCAACAACAATTAACGCTTTATTGTGGACAGAATATATGTATGCAAACTCACGTATCTTTAATGTCAAATTAAAAAATTACAGCACCTTCATTTCACCCAATGTATGCGATGATGGGTTTAAAATTCCAATTATGGGAACATCGCTTGACAACGCATTTAAAAAGCTACACATTATTTGAGCTCAAAATTAGTTTAAATGAGGCCCATTTTCAGGCTTTCATGTTCCATTTAACTACAGTACTGATAAACAGATGACCGTGTGGCTTAGTGGTAATTTTGCTGTGTGCAGTTAAATGTATTTAACCGGGACCAACTGATATAATCAGCTCAACTCGCAGCTTCGTATCATACGTGATAATAACCATTCCTGTAAATATTCCATGAGCCAATCCTAATAATTTATTTTCCAATGGTCTGCCTAACCCCAGCCTTGCCAATGTATATTTTTTTCACTGCCAACATTAACAGAGCAGCGATTCACTCTAAAATGTTCTGTCTATCTAAAAGTCGCCTTTTTTAGCAGGGTTCCTACATGTTGTATTTGTCCATCATCATCAGCCATGGTCACTTCTCTACTGGATGAAGATCTCCCCAAACCACTTCCGCCAACCCCTCTCGACCCTACGATGTCCTGTAAACGAAACTAAACTATTTTGTTTATTTTACCAGATAAGGCCCACGGAGCTACATAGCTATTTTGCACAAGTTACCTGGTCCCAAATGATAGCTCTATGAAGTGGCTTGTCACGTGGAAAGTTATTGCAGCCAAATACTCCCAATGTACCTTTCTTAATGTGGACGGAAAAGACACGGACAAAAATCCACACGACCACGGGGAGAACATGCAAACTCCAAATATACAGCAGCAGGCGTCAGGGTTGGGATCGAAACCACGACCTCCTGTATACGTACCAGGCGAGGTAGTTGACATATTGCCACCGTGGCAAGTCTAGACATTTACCAGGGGTGGTGGAGGGGTTAAGGGGTGGGGGCAGGGGGAGAGCGGGTACACGTGGACGAATTTAGTCACTCCATCTCCTCATTACACATCCTCTCTTTTGCGATGTCTATCTTTGTCGTGTGTCCGAGCCATTGTTGACTGTGCGCAACGTCAGTGAGAATGAGAATCGCGCGCTGCTCTGCTTACAGGAACCTACTTCACCCATGAAGCCAAGGGAGCTGAGGATGCACCAGATGCGGACACTGCCATCCTCAACGCTGAGGGTGGTCACAGTCACCCAGAAGAGAAGAAAGAATATTTTCTGTGAGGACCCTTTGGGGTGTGGGTGTGCGTGTGTCTGTCTGTCTGTGTGCGTGTGTGTGCGCGTGTAAGTTTGTTTGAGAGCGAAAGCTATGAAAACATCCCGATTAAAAAAAAAACTTTCCTCTTTTAACGTTCCCTAGCCGATTCCGTGTTTTTATTGCTTGATTCGCAGCTGTTTTATTATTACTGTTATTAATATCGTCACTGTAATTAACGTTTCCTGCGGGGGTTTTCTCTTTCATTTTAATAGCCAGCATTTTGCTCACAACCTTAGTCAAGAACCAAAATTGTGAGAATTATCCATAATGCTTAAAGTGATATATTATGTTGCATAGCTTGCTTGTAATTTTTTTTGTTTACAAGCATTAAGGGTTTTTACGAGTCAGATATGGCCAAAAACGCTTTGATGTTAGTTGGATTCTGATGGATGTTTGTCTTATGATTTTATATCGTATATATATAATTTTAGTGCATTTGTATGAATGTGTAAAGATTGAGCAGCATTTTTCATGTGAAAAGGAGGACTTTTTTGCTTAAATTCTTTGTGATAAATTGTGCACACACACATACACACCACACACCTTCACGCTGAATTTCAGTTGTATCTCTGCGAGCAGCAAAGGAATATATCGTGGCTTTTCTTTAACCCTAGTAAAACCAGCTTTGTACAGTACGTTATTACAGAGTGTTGTGGTAATAATTTTTGTATTCGTAGTCTCAAAATGTAAAATAAACTGCTATTTAAAAAAATAAATTACAATACATTGTTAATACATTGTGAAATGGTTTATCTTAACCTTCCTGCAAAAATTCACCAGAATGTGTAAAACATTTGCAGTATATTTATATTTATTTAAGATTAATTAGGCAAAATGGCACTGAAATATAATGTTGCTTTCTCAAGCAACGTCAGTTACATATACGGTATGAGCATTACTGCTTTTTGGCGAGTTATCGTTCAAATAATTTAATTGCTTAAGTTATTTACACGGAAAAGCCTCACTGAGTCTCGACTCATTTTCAGGAGGGCCCTGCCTTTGAATGCTTGGCTTTCCCGCTTTCCCGTGTGTGAAAGAACCATGTACGTGTGCATGTGGGAGGGAACCAGAGTGCCCCAGAGAAACCCCCACATACACACGAGCTGACATTACTCAAACTGTGTACAAAACACAGTTGAACAACCTACTCGCTAAACTGCTCCATAATAGCCCCTCATTGGCTGAATGAGCACGCACACGGAACATTCTGCTCGATATACCAATGTGACCTGCAAGGTCGCTGGATTGCAGACACGTGTAGCCACAATGTGCAACTGAAGTGCCCTGTTTAGATGTAGGAACCTGCAAAGTTACGTGACCTGCTCCTACCAATTTACGTCGCAGGGTTCAGATTACAGAACGCTGTGTGCTTTATTAAAGTCGTGGGAAACTGATGCGTGGTGAGTGTGATGCGTAATTGTGAGGTCACACAAACGACTATAACACTCGGAAAGGTCCTCTGTGTGATCTTTCCAACAAAGTTAACGATTGTTAAACCACCATGACAAAATAGTTTTGTTGTGGGTCGTTTTTTTAAGTTAATAAAATAAGAAACATTGCAGAGACGTGATTAAAAACACGATAAAATTGTAAAAGTTGTTTTGGAAAATTAGTTCCCATTACGAAATGGAATACTACATGAAATATTCGTTTCCAATTAAAGGCTAAATGAGAGTAATCCAGTAACACAAAACTTAATACATTTTTCAACAACACTTGACTTAAAGGGACACAAACATAATAGGTGCTGTTTTAGGCATTGGCACTGCATAATTGGTGTGCTGTGAAGAAGGGCCATTTACTGAAATGTTGCCTATTATGGATATATATTTCCTTGTAAGGCCACAGTCGTTTCTGACGAATGTGTTGTATGTTTTGTTATTTGTGCTTGTTCACTACTCTGCCAATGCAGTACCACCAACTAATTGTTTAATTCCGTAACAATAGATTTGCATAGACATTGATGTGTATTTACGCTGGGCGTATTTACAGTATTGTACAATGCATCACAGCTTCATAACAAAAGATTATCTTTTGGTTCTGGAAAACAAAAGCATCTTCTCTGACCTCTTGAACAAAAAAGAGAGATTATACAACGAATAGAAATAATATATACAATATCTACACAGATATGTTGCTTTATGTATAATATATAGCTATACTACTTACCCCTAAACATATAAGATGGTATATTATTATTATTATTTAAATCTAGATGCATTTAACATTTAATACATATATCTTAGTCAGCCTACAAACAACCCACCAAAGCAAAGTCCATTCATAATTCACAGTGCATTATGAGCTCAGGCAAAATAAATAAATAAAAATGCATACAACATTTCAAAGATATTAGCACAAACCCAGAGAACATCTTTATATATAACATTCCTTTTCTTCATTTGTCAACCCTTCATGAAGACCTTACGCCTGGGTCATTCAGCATGAAATGACGACTTGGTCCAGAATTTTCTAATTCAGGGGCAAAGTCAGACAGGCGTGATATTGGTAGCTGCACCAGGCCCTGCCTAGCAGTGCATTGATTCAATTATAATTCTTCCACAATTCTGCCCGTCCAGTGAGTGGGTGTCCATCGTCCTGGGTAGCATTACTGGAAACACTGGTGGGCAGAGCGAGCCACAGAGAGCTGCACACATCTCTCCTTGTGTCGCTTCTCCGAGTGTAAAGCCAGGAACCCGTAGATGCTTGTGCTCTCTGTCGCAAAAAAGTCATCATGATTTCATTGCTCAAATGAGCATTTGTGGAGGTGCTCATGTCCTGTTTACAGCCCTGAGCCAGTAGGGGAAATTCCACATTCCCATGGTGAGGGCGAGTCTGTCCATAGGACAACCACGGTTGACTTCCCAACACAATTGTAATCATTTTATTAACCCCAGAGGGATGAAGGGCTGAGTCAACCCCCGACCAGGAATTAAACTTGTAATCTTTCGATCGCGAGTCACTCGCTCTACCGCTAGAGCCACTTGGCTGGCAAACGTTGATGATTGAAGTGCACTCTTCCACAGTGAGAGTGTGAAGCCCCAATGTCTCGTGAAATAATAGTGAAGGTTGTTTAAGATGCCATGGCAAAACTTTGCTTAGACTCGATTGATTAAGAACATGTTTTTATAGCGTGTTTGTGTTGTGTTTATGTTTAGAATGCCACACAGCGGTGGCTCTGGTGATTTAACTGCCAGCGCTGAGCAAAGTGACTCAGCAGAGAATGTGCTGATAAATTAGACCAACCCACCCGCTTAAAAATGCATACACTTATTGACCGTGCATATATGCTGTTATACACAGGGCTTAATTTCTCATTTCATTTATTTCGAAACACTGTTGGGCAGGCTTGGAGTAGGGATTATTGGCATAAGGCACTGCAATTACAGTACAAGGCATGCCTATCCATAATAATCCTATATAATAGTGGTCTGTATTCCTACACTCCTATGAAGAGGTTTAGGAAACAATTAGGCAATGGACATGGTATGCGAAAATTCCGCCTAAAATTAAGCGCTGCTCAGAAAGAAGTGTTCAATAACGAACACGTTAATAGGTCAAGGTTTTTAGACAGTGGGTTGAACAACAGAAGTTTTTAAATAAGAAAATGCTTACGACAAATATTTACCGCAATATTTCATATTTCATGAAGCCATATCAAATAAGTATATTTAAATCATAAATGGTATTATTTCATTCAGTTACATCATGATATGGCAGTGAACATTTCTGCATGGTGAAGATTACATAGACTGAGCGTACACTGTCCGGTGAACTGGTCTACAATGTCTGTTTTGTGATTAAAGACAATGAAAATGACACTTTAAAAAAGTCAATGTTCTGACTAATGGGTAGAGTGACTATCTTGATTTAAAGCTTTCGTGACTGCAGGAATCCATACTCTTTGATTCTTTCGGTAAAGTCATGTAGTTAGAAAATATAATAGATCACGAAGTTTCGATCGCAACGCAAGCAACCGTCATCAACGTCGTCATCAGGCGATTGCTTGCGTTGCGATCGAAACGTCGTGACCTATTATTTTTTTCTACCTACGTGACTTTACCGAAATAACCAAAGAGTAGGGTAAGTGACTGTTGAAAGAAAATGAGCTAAAATGATGATTGCCTACTACAAAGCCCTCTTATATGCTAATTGGTATAATTTCAGCCCATAATGGACAGATGGTCATATTGTTTCCAAACCGTGCTTATTGTACCATTACACACACAAATACAAACGTGTGTGGACAAGACTGAATGCATACAGTCGTCTTCAGTCAACTACATGTTTGTTACAGACATTATCAGTAAGTCACACCCATGCACCTATGTACTTTTTACATATACATTAAATAAGTTGTAACTTTCCTAATACAGTACAAACTATTTGTGTGGTTCTTGCTAATCAAAACCTGTGTTCATTACATAGCGGCTGTGTCGAAAGTCTAATATGCATATCCAAGCACATCCTACAGACCTTGCATATTGTGGAGATATGTTCACTTCATAATCATGCACTGGCTGATGAATGTCAATTGAGATCAGTGGCAGTCTGTCTCTGATGCTGAATGATTTTACTTCACAGCTGTAGCTGTACAGAATTAATTACTAATCTTCCCCCCAAAATTCCCCCAAACGTCATTCAAAACAAACAAAAAAAATCAAATTACATCTATTAAACAAGTATGGGAATAAATAAAATGAAGTAATAATTTAAAAAAATATTGACATCAAGTATAATGTTTATATTTTTCTACATTAATTTGATTGCATTGCAAGTATTGAATACCTAATGTAGGCTACGGGCAAAACAAATCAAGTGGATGTTTTAGTGGGTGTAAGCAATTTTTATTGTAAAGAGTTATGCTTACACAATAGCATTGTAGTAACCCTAAATACTGTATGTGGAGAGTTGTGTATATTACAAATGAGGTATAAAGTATGGTTGTGGTTTTTGTACAGTAAGCAGTGGTAAATTTTGTTAGTCCTGTGTTAACAATGGCGAAATTAAAAAAAACATCTTTCAATGTGGATTATTACACACACACTTGTTTTGGTTATCTATGAGTTTATAAGCCGGTAGAAATTATTATTCCAAACTCTTTGCTTTTGTCACTGATGACACAACGTGTAACCGTGGTGTGGTTTTTTTGCATTAGAATGCAGGGCCAGCAGCTTTTGTCAAGGCTCTGCACAGGTCTTGAAATATTTAAAACAAGAAACATGTTTTCTCTTTGCTGAAAAAGTATGTGTGCATAAAACTAATTTTGTTTTTGTATGTGTAAGTTTTATTGGAATAAATTATTGTAATATATAACATGAGTGCATTTGTATATTTCTTTTACATTGCTCAACAATTATTATAATTTTTTTGCTATGATAATGGATATAATTAATTGAGACCATGTTGTTAGTTTGGGCTCCACGGTGGCGAGATATTAACTACCTCACCAGGTATACAGCAGGTCGTGGGATCAACACCTGTATACTTGGAGTTTGCATGTTCTCCCCGTGGTCGCGTGGCTTTTTCTGCGGGTCCTCTGGGGTTTCCCTCCGAATTTAGAAACATGCGTTTTAGAGTATTTGGCTGCTATAAATTTCCACTTGATAAGCCACCTTCGTTGACCTATAATTTGTGGTCAGGTCGCTTCTGAAAAAGAGCTATATAGCTCAGTGGGCCTTACCTGGTAAAATAAAATATTGTTTTAGTTGAGTTTTAGTTTAATGATCCTGCTGGGTGATGCTGTGAATGACTTGCTTAAGTCACAATCACAAGGCTGCAAATTCAAGGCAAAATAAATCGCAAGTCACTCAAGATGTTGTACAAACTTTTTTAGAGAGCCACAACGTTATATGCAAGAAATTTTTACAGTTTAATGAGTATGTAAGCATTCATTGATTCATAAAATGAATCCGTGCGTGCTGACATGTTTTAACTCGCACTAGTAATTATTGTATGCTTATGGTTTATGCTAATTTAAATAAAAATGTGGGGAAAAGGAATGTTAGCCGTGGCTAAATGTAGCTTAACAATCAAATTTCCTGCTTTTTATGAATCAATATATATCACTAAGGTTTAAATAATAAAATAACCAAATGAGTTAATCTAAGTAGTGGGCAGAAATTGAAGCATTGACACCACATACAGACATTTCGATTTAAAGCTTTCGTGACTGCAGGGATTCATATTCTTGGTTCTTTCGGTAAAGTCACGTAGAAGAGACATATCAATGTGAATTGCAGTTGAAAAGGAACTGTATTTATATCCGAGTCAAAGTGTCTTCCTTCTCAAATGAGCAATGGGGTGGCACTCGTATCTGTTCCCAGCCCTGAGACAGTTGTTGAAATTCCACATTCCCATTGTGGTAGCCATTATCTCTATGGGAAGACCAAAGTTAGCTTCCTCCTTAAAAGTGTTAACCACTAATCGTAATGAGAACTTATAACGTTCCTAGAATCAGAATCTTTATATACACTGGAGAAATCCGATGAGCTATCGTGCTCTTTTTCACAACAACAAACAAAACATCGATGAGAGTACAAAGTATAGGAAAGGCAAAACAAATCACGCAAAAAAACGTTAACTTTACTTTTTTTATTAAGTAAATCCCACTGAGCTATTATTTTGCAGAAGCGACATGGCCACAAATGATAGCTCAACGAAGTGGCTTTCCACGTGGAAATTTATAGCAGCCAAATAATCTAAACGCACGCTTCCAAATGTAGAGGAAAAAACCGGAGGACCCGGAGAAGAAATGCACGTGAACAGAGGGAGAACAACCAAGCTCCAAATATACAGGCGTCGGGGTCGGGATTGACTCTGGCAATACCACACAGCAAAATGCACGCACGTTTACGAGCAAGTAAAGTCGACGACGACAATCTTCATCTTAATAAGTGCCTAACAAGCGCCAATTATCCTTTGTAAATCGCAAGAAAACATGACAATATTTGAAAGGAGAAAGATCTAATACGCTGGCAGTGAAACAAACTCGTGTCTAAGGCCCCCACCACCAGTGCAAAACATCAATGATTTCCATCTACTGCTTTCCCTCGACTGAGTACACGGTTAACAGATAATTGCTCTGACGCAGAGGTGAAGTGTAAAACTGCAGTGGGGTTTCTGTTACTTTCATACATCAAGTGTTGGAATTTCAATTTAATGATGAGCACGCGTTTTTTTCCGTTATCCAAGGACATAAGCTCCTCACTCAAACCCCAATGTGCCAAAATGTAGCGAGGGCTAATGTGAAATAAAAACGTGTGTGTTTTTGGAAATGTGGAGACATCCCTGCACATGTTATGGCTTGCGTGACACTGGACTGTCCCTGCACTGTAACTCAGCGGTTGATGTTAGCCCATCGGGGTCCTGAAGCAAACATTATTTTGGGGGGCTTCCCTTTCCAATTAGAATCTCGTCGTGAGATGACGTAATAAATATATAAACAAGAGACTCATGATGTGAGACGAGAGAAGAGAGCTGCAAAGAGAAAAATGGATACAACATATGAACGTTCGTTTCATCTTTATTGTTCTAATACGTTAAGATTTGAACTCGAACTGATATTAATCTCACCCCTATATTGTCATGAATCTGGGTCCCATTATACCTGATTATTACATTGTCTTACTCATGCCTAGCAGTACCACCACTGCAATACATCTGACTGTGTGATTATAGCACAATTGTAAGGCCACAAGTTCAAATCCTTGTCAGTGGTTGAATTAGCTCATTATCTCTGGGATCAATAAAATCAGAATCACTTTGTAAAAAAGTCACCAGTGGTCAACCTGTGGATACACTGGCGTTGGTGACTGATGACAATGTGGAAATTCCAGCGATGGCTTAAGCCTGCCAATGGACAGGAACGTCACGGACCAAAACTCTCATTGAATAAAGGAGGCCCTGTTTAACGTCTTTATCTAAAACAACACGAAGCAAAATTATCTCACCGCTTTATTTTTAGTGCATCATTCTGAAAACATTCGCGCTGCCCATTTCACATGTAGACAGAAATTCTGAATCGCAAAATAATAGCCAGGAGTCTACCCATCGCTTCTTAACACCTTGCATTCATATCGTAAGCCACGCGGCTATCGAACAGAACAATTGGCTTCACAGCGTGTGGCCCTTCTGATATAAAAACAGAGTTGGGCTCCGCCGCCGCCATGGAGGAGGTGCACTGCAGAGGCGGCAGCCACCCTGCTCGGCACCCTATTGTCTATGATGAGCTGCCAAGGCAAGAGTGGATCACCCAGTGACCTATTGGAGATCATATGAAGAGGCACAGAGACCAGTGCTTCTGACTGGTGGCAGGCAGCCAACTGTGGAGTACGGCTGAGTGTCGGGAAACACCCGCCCCCTTCACAACTCGCTGCGTGACTAAATGCCGGAATGCGACGGGGCCTCGGCTACGTGTTTGCGAGCGGATAATTTGTTTCATAGTGCTCGTTTGGACCCCAGGCAAATTGACTGGTAATTTTTGATAGTCGAGTCAAATGTCAAGGTGTCTCTTTGGTCAAATGATTAATGCTGTGGCGGTGCTGGGAATAGAGTGCAGGCATCCCCAGTAAAAAAAAAGAATAAAAGTAGAAATTCAAAATAATTTTCAATGATACAAATTGTATAATCTCAAGGCATCACCGCGTCACGGCAGGGACCAGTGTTACGGTCTTAGGTCTGCCACGTTTGCAAGTATATCCTCTACTGCTGCTGCTCCTGCAAGCAGCCGACGGGACTGTTCAAGAAGCCCTGAAGTTACTCCTTATTAAGTAATCGTTACAAGTAATCATCTTTTGAATCTCAATTGTTATTTTTTAAATTAAACTTCTTATTAAGTCTTTTTTGAAATGTTTATATTTTAATTCATTTTTATTCATTTATTTGTATGTATTTTGTAAATCCAGGGCAAAAAAATATTAATTTAATAATACTTTTATTTTTGTGGGAAATACAACCCCCCCCCCACCCCCCCCGTATAGAATCTATGTCTATGGGGAAATAAGCTTCAAACAGCACGATTTTATTTTTTTATTACGTGCAATAGTGAACAACCATATCAGACAGTACATATAATCGACATAATCATTGGTTCACTAGAGCTCAAAGTCTCGGTCCTACAAGGCGTGCCGTGAAGTGAGGAGATGTCCATGTAGGTGCTCGGCATTTGAGGGCCTGAAGACCAGAATCGGTGATTTCGCCGACAATGTGTTCAGGGGAGGCAGTGCCATATCCGGACAGCAGAGTGAAGAAAAGGGAGCTTCTGTCCAGGCAGTATGTTCTCACAACTGAGGGGCAAGGGCTTGGCAGCGTTGTGCATCATCGGGTGGCACGGTGACTCACACGCTGTTTTTCAGGAACGTATGTCGCGCGTTATGCGAGGGACGCCTGTGTATTTCTCTTGAAAACGGTGTCTCCATCGGGTGTCCACTGCTGACTCTCCATGAGTGGTTAGCCGAGTCGAGCCTACATTGGGATTTTTGAACTCACATGTTTCATTTTGTGACTCAAGCGCTCTTATCACAGAGCCACCAAGTCAAGATCCAAAGTGTCCAAATAAACATGGGTCATTGTTTTTACATTCATAAACATAGGCGACTTCTTAACGAAGTGGCATATACTGCATCTGGAGAAATGAAGGTCTGCCTTGACATTGATTGGGATTTGAACCCATGAAAATTATGATCCGAAGGTTTGTACTCAACCATTATGAAGCTATTCCATCAGTTCCATAACACCAGAGCGAATGCATCTCAGAATGAGGGAGCCACAGAGGCCCTCAGCTGGCTCCTGCTGTACGAATTATACCCAACGTGGCCACAAACTCCCTCAGCAGCACCGGGGGCATTTAAGAAATCTCGCTTTTTTTCTGGAAATATAAAGAGCTTCTCAACAAAGGAATTTAAGTGAATGCGTGATCATGAACACCGGTGATACTGTAAATAAACGCACACTGAATCAAATGCACTTTGCACAGTGGAGGCAAGTTGTTGTGATTAATTCACTGCGCGCAGATGTGGTGCTAATGCAAATGGCCTGCCATTGCCGTGAAAAATGTGCTTTTCAATATTAAAACAGATGCCTTGGTGGTTTAGGCACTTTTATGTAAACAAAAACAAATGGACAGTCTGGTAAGGCACAGAGGGCCATTAATAAACATGTAGAAGCCGACAAGAGACTTGTGGAGGCAATTATGGGATCGTACATTTAAAAATTGATTATCGATTAATTATTTTCGTCTCATCCATGTGATAATGACTAATTGGCTTTTATATGCCAAGTGGGCCTTGAACTTGCTGGGACACAGCCCAAAAGGG